CCTTGCTGAATAGGGAGACTTCCAGTTCTATCTTGCTAAGGATAAGATGAGCTAATCCTAATCTGATAAGCTACTAACAAGATAAGAATAGAGCAATAGAATAAGATAAGAACAAGCAAGATGATCTAATCTAATCTAGATAAGGCTGCTGTTGCCGAACTGGGTAGGATGAGAATCATTGAATCACTGCTGCTGCTGCTGGTGGGTCAGGTGCCTGTTGCTGCCGGTGGCGACGGTACGTCTTCCCGAGGAATGCGTCCATAACAGGCTCTATGGATCTTTGGACATTATTATGCTATACTTGTTTTCAAAGATATCCCCATTTCTCTTGTGCTATTAAGTACTGACTACTGACTACATGATGACAAGAAAGGTGACTCGCAAAGCTTTAAAGAGAAAACTGTTGGAGTATATGTAGTTGCAGCGGGATTTGGGAAGGGGGAATAAACAGTGGATATGCCTTAATCATTGTAGAGTAAGACCACTGAAATCACACTTCCCTGCCAAAGCTTCCCAAAACAGACTCCTGCCCACTTCCCTAGTAAACCAATAGGTAAGAAGCTTGCTAATTTTGGACCTATCCGAACAGGGTATTTAATATAAAGCCAATAATTACACTTCTTTAATAAAATGTCTGAGTGCCCAAGGGGCATTTTCTATTTAAAGTGTTCATCTTATGATAGTTTGAGTCTCATACACGATCCACAAAGCCCAAAGAAAAAAAAAAAAGACATAATTTTTGTGGTGCATGGGGACATCTGTAGTTTTTCCTTCGATTCCTTTTTACCTTGAAATGTGTAATGAATTTCAATGCTGTTCAATACGTATACTGTGCTTTATCAATTTATCTTGACTTGGAAAGTATGGATGGTTTATACCTTCTTGTATTAACAAGTGTGCTGATTCTAATATATTTTATTTTCACAGCCAGGCATGGAGGAGGGGCGCAATTGTTATGCAGATGAGCACTACCTGCCAACCTTCTTCTATGTGCGCACAGTAGACTTTTTTACTGTAATCTTCACTCAATATTTCCTATTTGGCTAAACTTAAGGAACTTACTGTGTACTTTGCAGATGATTGATCCACAGGGGATTGCAAATTGGTCTGTGACACATGTTGACTGGTCTGAAGCAAAGTGGCATCCAAAATCTTACAGGGCACGGGATGTTACCTACGAGCTCCTGAAGAATATTACGGTATGGTTTTGTTCCTTGGTTTTATAATCCCACTGGTACATTTGATCTACTTCATGGTTGATTTATGCGATTCTTTGGTGTTATTGTCATTTACAGTCTATCGATGAGACTCTGCATGTTACAAGTGATAGAAGGGTAATAATAATATTACTAGTAAGTTTAATGTGCTTTGAATGCTTTATTATCAACTTCTAAAAGCAATTGTTGTCTCTCATGAGCTTCTGCAGAGGGAGGTGCAGATAAGACCTTGTTTGTGGAATGGTATGCAGCGGCCATGCTATCTATTTGCGAGGAAATTCTACCCAGAAGCACTGGATAACTTGATGCAATTATTCTCCAACTATACGCTGACATGATGCACATCTTAATGATTTTTATTCTTTGGTTGGATCAACGACTGCCGACCCATCCTACTGTCTGTCGCTGCTTCAACCGTATATATTGCAATGTTGTAAAATGACACGCTGTAGATTGCTTGGATGCCTCGGACCCGGATTCAGATTCATAGAATAGAAGGGCGATTGTCAGAGCAAATAGGGTTAATTGACTCGGAGGCTTGATGTTACTGCCAACTTGCCTGGTGGTGTCGCTTCCTCTAGGGTAAATGATTTGCTGTTTCTCTGTTGTCCATTTCTTTCTCTTTTTTTTTTCCATTTGTGTTGCTTATGTTAAATTATTTTGGAAATAGAAAATTTTGGGGATTTATGCAAAATTTTTTATTTTATTTGTAAAAGCTAAATATGTGACCCCCCCCCCCCCTCTCTCTCTCTCTCTCATAGTTTTCATTAACTAGATCCAAACTAAAAGTCAAATGTTGATCTGGATGATGGAATCATTTGAACTATCATCCAAACATGATTTCGGGTCCAATTTTTATAAAACTTGGGGTTTGATAAAAAAATCATGAACGTAACATATTTAATACATATATATTATATGTACAATATAATATATATTATTTTATTGATATAATTCATATTTATACCTGCCTACTTATCTACATATTAATACATATTTAACTTTAATTTAAATTAATGTTTTCAACCTGTTGTTGATCTGGATGATGGAATCATTTGAACTATCATCCAGACATGATTTCGGGTCCAATTTTTATAAAACTTGGGGTTTGATAAAAAATCATAAACATAACATATTTAATACATATATATTATATGTACAATATAATTATATATTATTTTATTGATATAATTCATATTTATACCTACCTACCTATCTACATATTAATACATATTTTACTTTAAAATAATGTTTTCAACATTTGAATTGTCATCCAGACATGATTTTGTGTCTGATGTTTATAAAATTTGGGGTTTGATAAAAATCATGAACATAAAATATATAACACATATATTATATGTATAATATAATTATATATTATTTTATTTATATAATATATATTTATACCTACCTATGTATATATTAATACATATATACATACATATTTATACCTATCATCCTGTCTCTCCTTTTTCCCCTATTATTTATCTATTTTGTGTTCTTTTGCATTTTTTTGAAATCGAACAAAATAATTCAAGTAGCCAATCGATTTTATGTCTTCAAGACTTTCATCTCTCCTCATTAACTCACCATTAACCCTCTCATCTCTCTCATTAACTCCTTTAATATCTTTTTTTTTTTTTATTAACTTCCTTTAATTATCTCTCAATAAGTCCATTAAATTGCTTAAAATTCATTATCTCTTTTTTCCTTTTTTATTTTTTGTTTCTTTTTTATTTTTATTTTATTCTCTCTTCTCTCTTCTCTCTTCTCTCTTCATTAATCTAATAAACCAAAAGCAATTTGCTTAGGGGTGATTATTTCAATCTAGTTTGAGCTTGGACTTGCATCAGGCCTACAAATTTCAAAGCCAAGCTAGGCCTTACTTCAAAGCTTATTCAGGCCCAACCCAGCCCGTAAGCAAATAAGGGTCCATTTGGTTTGTCGGAATAGGGATTTTGATCCCAATTCTGATTCCAACTTTGAACTAAACGAATCCTAACAACTTAAAATTTAGTTAGAAAAATTATTGTAAATAGTTAAATCACATAAAATAATGGGGGGAAGAGAATTCTAAGAAATGGGTCCCACCCCTTCCATCATTAACCTATTTTAGCATATTTCTACAAGTGTCTTCTATTATTAGCCTATTGAATTCCAAAGAGAGAATTTTATTTTCATCTAAATTCCATTTATTTGTTTTATAATCAAATTTTATTTAAATTGTTAAAAATTATAACTTGAAACCTAATAAATAAAAATTACTAAAGTTTATAAAAAATATTAAATTTTAGCAAGTTTTTATCTAACAACTATTAGACATTAAGAAATTAATAAAAAAGTAGTTCATAAATTACAAATTAAAATACATTTGAATTCTATTTAAAAATAACTAATAATAATTAACAAACCATTTGCATTCTATATAAAAATTACAAAATTAATTAAAATAATAAAATTAATAATGACCCAATTAGAAATTTCATAAAACTCCTACTCAAGGATAATCATTTATAACTTAGCCCAACTTGGTTAGACCTCCAAATTTTCAGAATCAAGCAATTGTTTTCTTCTGAGCTAGGTCTAGCTTGAATCTGTACAATGCCCACTAGGGGTGAGCATGGGTCCATTAAGTTCGGTTTCATGGCAGAACCTAGAACCTACCCTATAGGGGTTAATTCCAAGTTTTTTGAACTAAAACCTACTTGTAAAGATCAGTTCTAGGGTTGGTTCTGGCCTTGGTGGTTCCAAGGCCTGTTCTAAGATCTACACGTGAAACTTGTTCTTTATTTACGCTCCCTCTTAAAAAAATGAAACACGCCATTTAAAAAGTTGATTTTCAATAATGATAATATATAATTTAAAACTTGTATTATGTTTATTGATTAAATTGAGTAACTTAATATGTAGATTATTATGATATATTAACATATGGTTTAAATTTTATAAATGTTACCCTTTACATTATTTATTATACACATTCAAATATTAAAATGTGATCAAATTACTTAAGTAACTCAATGGTGAAGTGAGATCAGGGTTTTCGTAACAATGAGTGATTGGGTTCAAATCTTCACATTCTTAAAAATATTTTGGAGCTTATTTCAAGGCAAGTTCGGTTCCAAAGCCGGTTCCACTAAGGCCAACCAAGGCTGGTTCGAGTAGGGTAAACCCCTAGACTCTAGAACCGACCTAGGTAGGGGTTAGATTGGGTAGGGTTAGTTCAAAGCCGATTCAGAGTTGGTTTCGGGTACAACCTACCCATTTGCTCACTCATAATGCCCACACCATACGTAATGTGGGAAATAGGGCTATAAACAAATCGAATTCAAATCGGGTCCAGTTGCATCTAGATTTGATTATGAAATCTCTAGATCTACATCCACATCCGATTATTATGTCAAATTTTGGATCGGATTTGGATTTAATCCACAACCATCTTATTGTGTTTGAAATAACCAAAAATTTTAAAAAGTTTTAAAAACTAATTATTTTTAAAGTATATATGTATAACGAATGTATATGAATATAAAGTATTTAATTTATCAATTATAAATTGTATATAATTGTACATAATATCTATATGTATACATAAAATAATAAAATAATAATTTTTATTGGACTTGGATTTTAATCAAATCGGATAAGGTTAAATTTACATCTAATCCAATTATTAGTTAGATGCAAGGTCTAACATCCAAATATGGGATAATTAGATTCAGAGCCGAATCAGGTATCATACCTTTGGAGTCTATTGACAACCCTAGCGGGAAAGGCCTGAGCTAAGAAACCACTATGTTTTTTATACAAGACTAAAATTAAATAAAAATAATAATTTGTAAAAAATCATAGTTTTATAATTTACGCGGGCAAGTATGTCTCTGTTCCAAGCCCAAACAAATATTATTACACTTTGGGGTGTGGTTCGGGTTAAACCAGGTAGCCTTAAAAACTATAAATACATTATCAAAATTTGGTCAAAGATCTTTATTTTTTGGTTCATTATCAATATTTTTTATCTAAAAAATACAAATTGGACTTAGTTTGGTTCAGTCCAATTACAAATGTCACATTGCTCTTAGGCGTACAACTTGGACGGGTTGGGTTGGGTTAGGTTAAGGATCCATCCAAGCCCAACCTACAGCTTTAAACTTCATGCTCGTGCTTAGATTAATTTTATGACTAAGAAAGTTAATATATAGATAAATTTAATTATGATTACAACCTAATTTTATATATTTACTAATATTAAAGTATTTTAAATATTTAACTAATATTTACAAAACATTGTAACATTTAATAATTAATAATTAATAGAACTGTAACAAATAATATGAAAATTTTATTATTTTATTAGGTAATTAGCAATAATTGTATTAAGTAATTACTAAATTACTAAATTATTTTGTAACAAATTACTAAAATAAAGATTAATTAGTTTAAACAACATTACATTCCTTCCTTGTAATAATTATTAGTTTCTGTTATTTCACTTTTCCTTAACAAATCCCGTGTATCACACGGGTCCCCACTAGTATATATTAAAATTAGGCCTGTCATGTTAATTTTAAAATTGAACAAAATAACTCAAGTAGCCAATCAACTTTAAGTTATCTCTTCTCATTAACTATTTTTTCTCTTTATCATTAACTCCTTGGATTATCTCTCCTCATTCATCATTCCATTAATTCTCTCCCCCAATATGTCATTCAACTAATTCTCTCTCCTCTTACTCCATTAAATTGCCTAAAATTCATTCGCTCTTTCTTTTTTTATTTTATTCTCTCTCCTCTCTTCATTAATCTAATAAACCAAAAAAAATTTTCTTGGGGTAATTATTTTATTCTAGTTCAAGCCCGAGAGTGCATCAGGTCCACAAATTTTAAGGCCAAGCTTGGGCCTAATACTTCAAGGCTGATGTAGGCCCATCCTAGCCTGTAAACAAATAATAGCTTAAAAATTAGTTAATAAAATTATCATAATTAATTAAATCACCTAAAAATTCCATTATTAGCCTATTCTATTTCAAAGAGATAATTTTACTATCATCTGAATTCCATTTATTTGTTTCATATTCAAATTTTATTTAAATGATTAATTATCAGAAAATTATAATTTGAAACCTAATAACTAAAATTAATAAAAATTTACTAAATCTTATAAACAATATTAAAATTTAGCACTTTTTATCTACAAAATATTAAAAATTAAGAAATTAATAAAAATGGTAGTTCATAAATTTAAAATTAAAATACATTTGAATTCTATTTAAAAATAACTAATATTAATACGATAATTAAAATTAATAAGAAAAGGTAAAAAATTATTAAGAGTAATAAAACAAACCATTTTCATTCCATATAAAAGTTAGCTAAAATAATAAAACTAATAATGGCCCAATTAAAAATGTCATAAAACTCATTTTACTTAGGGATGATGATTTATAACTTAGCATAACTTGGTTAGACCTACAAATTTCCATACTCAAGCAACTATTTTCTTTTGAGCCAGGCCTACCTTGGATCTACACCAAGTGCACATATAATGTACGTAGTATGGCTCTAAATAGATCGAGTTCAGATCAGGTCTAGCTGCATCCACATTCAATTATGAAATCTCTAGATCCACACTGACATCAGATTATTATGTTGGACTTTGGATTGGATTCGAATTTAATCTATAACCATTTTATTGTGTTTAAAATGACCCAAAAATTAAAAAGTTTTGAAAAACTAACTATTTTTAAGGTATATATGTATAACAAATGTATATGAATATAAACTATTAAAAGTTTTTATATTAAACTTTAAATGAGCAATTCCACAAGTTGTTGATATAACAGTTAGTGTGACAAGATCAATGATATATTTTTGCTGACAGACGAAATATCTTCACTTACTACATTGAAGAAAAATTAAGATACACATGGATACCTATGGAAACACTATAAATACTTCAATATATCACAAAAATGCATTAATAACACTATAAATATAAGGCCTTGATGAGGTATGCATGCATTAAAATAATGTATTATAATGTTTTTATGAAGAAATACATCATAGTCAATTGTAATTTTCATTCAAAAACCCTATGCTTAATTGTAATTTATAAATTACAATTCTTATGTTTTAAGCGATGGGAAAAGCCCAACTTTTGTATCCAACGAGAAAACATGCATTGACACAACTTCCCATGTGAAAATAATATTAATAATATTTCTTATTTAAATAATTACTATCTATCATTTAGTTTTGGAAATTACAAAAAATAAAAAGTAAATAAACATTGTATAATAAATTCAAAAAGATAATTATTCAAGAAGAAATTTCAATTACTCTATGGATATGAGAGATCATTCATAGATCTACAAAATAAAAAGTACTTATGATTAGATCATAAAATTATAATTAATTATTATTTATTTTTAAATAAGCAACATAAATAATTAATATTTATTATTTATTCTAAAACTACAAAAATAAAAATATATTATAAAAGAAGTTAAATGCTCTATAGATATGATAGATCATCTATAGATCTTAAGCTATTAAGTCTTTATAGGTAGATAAAAGAAATACATTTTTCAACTTTTTTGTTATTTTATATTTTTCCCAAATTTCTTCATGAAGTTTTCATAGATCTATTCATGACACCAAAAACTGTTATTTTCAATATAAGAAATGTACATCAACATAAATTTAAACATTTGTCAAGCATTCAAGAAAAAAACAAGAGATCACAAAATATGTCCATTTAAATCTGATATTGTCTAGACATATTTGACTAATGATAAAACTTCTCTATGTAGTTACAAATTTCCTTAGCAATTTTCAGACCCCTCATAGGAATAGCTACATCCATAGTAATCTAACTCAATATCCAAAAAAAAAATTATCTAGGCACTATTGACTTTCCACTATTGCAGAAGCCCTTTAGCATTCGTAACATTAGGGATGGTTGTGGTACCATCCAAATAACTTAACATACCCTTTCCTTAAACAAAAATTTAGAAATGGAATTTCTAAAGAACATAATTTGTTCCATGGAATTTCACAGAGATGAAATCACTCCTTTCGGATCCCATATTCAGCCAAGAAACTAAGAAAACAACAAAAATAACTGATAATAGCCACCAAAAATCAAGAAGAATACCTCAAAGAAAAGTCAAATAATCACTAGATGTAAGTAGATAGAATTAGACATCGCACTACCTGCGATGAGTGACCCATTGTAAAACTTCACAAGTAGCTATTGCACAAATAATAGCAATGCATTGGGACATGGGGATAATGGCACCATGCCCCAGCGCAGTTGTCACCCACATGTATGCGTCCTGTCCTCTCCAACTTTTAATGCATGGAGACTTGGTAATGTTCTATCATATTGCAATCTCTCATCACACTACCTTAATGTACTTCATATCGCAGAAGAGTCCTAATATATTTCATGTCACAATATAATTCATGTAATGCGAGCACCTCAACTACACAACACAAAACCGTTGTAGCCCCACAAATTGACTCCTCAATCTCACGTCCCCCATCACAACCTAACACTCAATCCCTCCATCATGTTTCCCTCAAGGACCTGAAGACTATAGCAGTGTAAACCCTCACACATACACAAGTGTTGAAGTAATCGCATGGACACATGGCAAAATCCTAATCAATCCAAGTGATGCAAATCCAGTAATGGCATAACAAATTGAAAAGGGATTTTCCAAAAGGGAAAACCTACAAAGGAGTCTATGAATAGGGTTCCTTGAAAGAGGGGAGAAGAGGCAATTAGCCTCCCCATATGTAAAGATCACTCCCCAATCGTTGTTTTCCTCGAACCTTTGGAGTCAGACTCCATAGTGCCAAACCCCATCGAGCTTACACCAAGAATCATCAAAGATCTTAGAAAAAGCAAGCTAATCCTAAAACTTGAGTCTAGATGAGTGACAATCCAAAAAAGGAAATTGTAAGTAGCAGTTGTCAAAGGAAGAAAATCAAAACTCCTTCAAATCTTCACCAAAGCAAGACGTGTTTATAGGGAAGAGAGGTCAGGTCTAGGTGACACCAGATTTGAAGTTTGGCCTTGATCTAAAGTCTCCCAAGTGAGATCTAATGAAATATCCCTTGCTAGTTGCTCTCACAGAAGGTAGAGTTGATCAAAACATCCCTACACTCTTCTACCGATCGAAGGACGTAGTGAATCTTAGTAGCGAGATGTGATTACTATATAGAGAGAGAGTATCAAGCAAGCAAGAAATTGATCTATATATATATTACAAGAATGATAAAGTACAATAAAGGTAAAATCACAATATTAACCTCCATCTTCTCAACATGGATGACATCTAGAAGTTCAACTAGTCAGGTCTAGTTGGCACCCATAAGTCTAATTATTTATAAGATTTTACTAGCACTCAAAGGTCCAGTTGTTTAGTGAAAATTCTCAGGTAGTTACTTGAGGAGAAACGTAGGCCTGGGTTTAGTTGAACCTCTATAAATCTCTTTATGTTTTATTTTCTACAGTTGGTTCCTTTATTTGTTTATTTATCTTGTTAATTGCTTTACATTGAATTACACACACAACCTTCTATTCTCATTAGTTTTGCATTCATTAGCTTTAGAAGGTTTTAGTTGGAGGAAATCCTTTTAGAACCCAATTCACCAATCCAAATCTCTTGCCTACAAGAATCCTACCCATACCTACCCAAAGGATACTACAGCTATACTTGAGATGTTCTCAATGTGCAGCTGTAGCCATGTGTGGGTAGGAGATCCAAACACCCAATTCACCTCCTCCTTGGATAGGTTTTCTGAACAACAAAAGAGATAGTACAAGTGCTTCAGAGCAGTTTTAGGGTTAGTCACAAATTCACAATGAACATTGAAAATTAGAAGACAAGAGGAAAGGCGAGGGAGATGAAAAAAAAATGAAAGAGTTTTGAGCGGAGAAGAGCCCGATGAAACGAGTCCCAAAAAAAAAATCTATTGGTGCATGTTTTAAGTTGTTTTGGTAATATTGTTAAAATAGCAACATACTTCTCTCAAATAGAAGCACTTGCTTGAGGAACATCTATGAAGCACTTGCTTGAGGAACATCTATGAAGCACTTGCTTGAGGAACATCTATGAAGCACTTGTCCATGACATCATTTTACATTTGAGAAGAACCCTAAGATGCCTGCAACAGTCTCTGGTTGATGAATATGCTCTTTGAGCTAACTATGTGAATTAACCATTCCATACCACCATGGTGGTCAAGCAGAGCAAAGTACTTCATATAATGAATACAATTTGTTACCCTACTTATCTCTAAAACAATATAATAAAGAAATTTGAAACCCTGAATTAATTTTTCTTTACATTTGTAAGAGGAAGTGAATCATCAAAAGAAACAGAAAAGCCTAAATAGCCACATTTGAGAGTTAGGTTTTAAAAGGCCCACTACCAAATGTTATTCCTGGCTATCCAGGGTCTTGGGAGGGAAGGACTGGATACAGACCTAACCCTTGAAGGTGACCAGAACGTCCAGGCACAGTACATGGCAAGTACAGAAAGAAAAATACGAGGACTAGTAATCATCAGAAATGTGTAAGTAGCAACCAGTGGACCATATATAGTAGGAACAATGAAAGGTTCATCACCTGTTGGTAAAGTTTGTTAGTTTAAAGGGCATGACAATAGTCTTCTGATCTCACCTTTTCTTGAAGAAACTATGTGGAAAGAAATGCATTTATCCTCATGCAAAGGGAAGAACAACTTGAGGCAAAAGACATTTCTCTTTCGTTAAATAAAACAGCTTGGAAGATACTAATTCCTCATTTGATCTCACCGAGAATAACCATATTATTGCTAGAAAGAATCTCCATTTCCAGTCTCTATTTTGCTGAATCCAGTGCCTTTCCTTATGCCTCTTATTCTCATTATCCGCCTTATTTTTTCCACCCCAACCCAGTTACTGGATTCCGCATAAACTGTACACAACAAAGTATAGTTTGCAGCATTTTCAGGTTCCAGTTTGATGAGCTGATGGGCCAACATTTCTGCAATGTCTAATCGACCATGGGCTCTGCAAGCTGATGCCAAACAGCTAACAGTGGTTGAGCTTGGTTTCATGGGCATATGGCTCAAAACCTCACAGGCTTCTTCAATCTTCCCTGATCGAGCAAGAAGATCAATGTAGCATGTATAATGCTCCAAAGTCAAGGGAACATTGTTATGTCGTGCCACATGATCAATGAGATCCTGTCCCTCTACAATGAGGCCAGCATGATTGCATGCAGACAAAACAGCAAGGAGTGTGACTGCATCAGGAACAACTGATCTCTGCTCCATCTCATGAAACAGCTCCAAAGCTTTTTTACCACAACCATGAAATCCATAACCCCGAATTAGAACACTCCATGACACGGAATCTTTTGTGTCCATCTCTCTGAAAATCTGGTGAGCATCATCAAGATATCCACATTTGGCATACATATCTATAAGGGAATTGCCAACAAAGATGTCAAAACTCAAGCCAGATTTTAAACTGTAGCCATGAACTTCACGGCCGTGCATTGTAGACAGGTGGGTGGTACAGGCAGCTATAATGGCCAGCAGGGTTACAGAGTTAGGCTTGATACCCTCCATCTGCATTTCACGGAAAAGTTCAACTGCTCTAGAGATATTCCCAATCTGGGAATAGGCTCTAATCACAGAACTCCACATCACAACATCTCTTCCTTTTGATCTTTCAAAAACAAGCCAGCCAGGGCCCTGTGCTGCACCGCATTTGCAGTACATGTCTAGCAAAGCTGCTTCAAAATGCGGTTCTGACTCAAACCCCTGATGGATTGCATACCCATGAATCTCTTTTCCATGCTTTAGTGCTCCTAATTCAGCACAAGCTGGTAAAACTGCAAGCAGCGTCACTCGGTTTTGTCTAACTCCTTCAACTTGCATTGCTCGAAAGACCTCAACTGACAAATTACAGTTTTCATTTGAAGTGCACCCAGCAATCATAGCTGTCCAAGAAACCTCGTTCCTCTCTGTCATCTGATGGAATACATTGAAAGCAACATCCAAGTGAAAACACTTGGAATAAATATCCAAAAGAGCCGTCGATAAGAAAATAGATGACTTAACTGTTCCACCACGGACGAGACTAGCATGAATTTGTCTTCCTAATCTTAAGTTTCCCATCCGGGCGCAAACCGACAAAATGCCAGCGACCAACTCGGGCTTTGGTTCAAGACCTGCCAAACCCATTTGTCTGAATACCTCAATCGCTTCATGGTGATACCCATTTCGGATATAGCAAGTAATCATTGAATTCCATGTGATGGTGTCTCTTATGAGCATTGTATCAAACAATTGACGTGCGGATTCAACGTTTGAACACCTTGCATACATGCTGAGAAGAGAGTTGGCGGTAATGGGTTCTGAATCAGACCCAGTTTTGATGACAATAGAGTGGATTTGAAGGCCAAAGTGCAAAGATTCAGCACAAGCGCAGGCTTTGATAATTGTAGGAAGAATGGAGGCGTTCCCATGGAGTCCAGAGGGATGAATTTCTTCTTTGTAGAATTTAAGGGTCTGGTAAAATAGGCCTTCCGAGACCAGATCCCGAACTCTGGCATGAGTCACTGAGACCGATAATGTGGGTCCTGCATTTGAAATGGAGAATTTGATTCTTTCGCCCTGTGTAAGCAGGTGGATCCGTCTGATCAGTTGATGCATTGTCGCATATAAAGCCATTAAAATCAGTGTGGTCGGATGCTTATATAATTTGTTAAGACAACCCTACCCCTTCTTTACATTTATGATGCCCAGATTTTTTCATGTTTCTTCACTCTAATTTCTCTGTTTTCTTGATTTATAACTTCAAAACGAGCATCAGTTCAGAAAGGAGTATCTCTTTACTCTTTCTTTCCTCTCTCCATTATCATACAAAATCATTTTCTGTTTCGTTTTGGTAATGGCTATACTGCTATTACCGTTGTAATCTCATTCCAATCTGCAAATGTGATCCCTGTGCTTGATATCTCTGTAATTACTGTCATAAATATGTGAAGGGCGAGAGATGTCTTATAGTCGTTGTACCCCAGATTTCTGAATGACTTCTGCAACACTTCTTTATTAAGAGATTGGGTGAGTGAATCAAATCTAGAGTTCAGGATGTGCTCGCCATTATCCCGTTTTCTTTAGTAGGCAATAGGAGCTTTTGATATATGGTTCAGCATCTCCAACATCATGCTCACGAGTTTTTGACGGTGTAGTTTGAATTTTAATGTTCCTGATTTACTTTAGAACTCCTTGTTTCTGGTATTACCTAAAAATATTGAATCGTACCTTTGATCTTGTGCCTGAGAAGCTCTTGATATTCTTCCCTTATGTCTGATAGCATATCAGCAGCTATACTTTTGTTTTTCTTGGTGAATTCAATTTTTGAATATAAAGTATCAGATGATTTTTTGTCGATGGAAGACGAAGATATCAAATATTTATGTTTCTATATGATCATGCTTGTATGAGTTTATATGTACTTGATATTCTTTATATATTTACTTGTTACACTGTATAGTGAAGAATTCTATTGGTTTGATAGTGAGTATTTTGTGTGATTGATTGATTGATTCAAATAATGATTATTAAAGGGAGAATGACTATACCCTCAGTGTCATAATTTATAGGTTGAATGTACAGTGGGATAGGTGTCATTTCGGAATCGATGTTCACGGGAATTTAAATGTTTATAGTAAATCAAAATCTGCATTGGGCAAATCCATACTTTTCCCATTATTAAATGCAATATAAGAGGTTTTATCTTTGGAGGTTATAGTGCAATATTGAGAGTTCGGATTCAATGAACCCACCAATGAGAGACGATCACGTAGGCATATTTAAAAGTTACTAGTAAATAAGCACATGCATTTGTATGTGGAATTTTAAATTATAAAAACAATTATTATTATTATTATCATCATTATCATCATCATCATTATTATTATTATTATTATTATTATTAAATTGTGTATTCCATTTCTAGTATAAATAAAATTAATTTTTATTGTGACAATTATTTTTATTTAATACCACTTTATTACTTATAAATTTTAAATTATATATTTCATCTATATTATATAATTTATTACTTATCACACTTGATTTTTGTTTGTCATAATTAATATATATTTTTTATATATTCTTTTGATTACTTGTATTTTTTTTACTTTTTAAAAATTTATAATTTAACTATCATATCATCAATTAATATATTTGACTCAAAACGCTAACCCACCACCCAAAAAGAAAAATAGTTTGATTTCTATCTTGACATTAACTTTTGTATTACATCTTCATCATTGATAGAATTATTATAATACTTATTTTTTGTTCAAATAATGAATGCATAATATTATAGATGTAGAAAATTTTTTATTTTTTATAAATATATAACATTAGCTATGTGCCCGAATTTTTCAATATTTTTTTTATTTTAGTGATTATTTGTATTTTTTGTTTTTAAAAATTTTATTATTTGACTATGACATCATTTTATTTCTAGGTTGATTTTAAATTTGGAATCCCCTTTTCATAATCGATAAAAATACTTCTTACATTTCATACTTATTTTTGTTTAGCATAATAAATATACAATATTAGAGATATGCCCAATTTTTTTCTATTATATATTTTATTTGTTTTATTTTTATTATTTAATTATAACATTATTTATTAACTCATTTAACCCCAAATGGTCGAATACTTGTATTGCTTATCCACCAATGGGAGGGAAGAAATAGTTTTGTTTTCAAATTATTTTCCAAAATATTTATTTTCATACTATCAAAATTAATATTGTAGATTTAATTAATAGAATTTAATGATAAGAAAAATATATCCTAAATATAGGATTTAATGAGAGAATATACCTTAGATATGAGATTTAATTTGGTTGTAACTAGTAGAACTTAATGATAAGAAAAATATGTCTTAAATATAGGATTTAATGAGAGAATATATCTTAAATATAAGATTTAATTAGGTTGCGTTTGGAATCGGTGCAAATCAAGAAAGATGTAAAAGTTTACATCGTTTCTATTTTGTCAATATTTGGAAGGAGTGTGTAATCATGATCGATGTAAAACTCCACTCCGGTTTAGTGTTGTGTGTGTTTGAATAGAGTGGAGTTTTACGTCGTGAATCAATGTAAAACCTCATCAAACGTAAAGTTTAATATGTCGAATATATGATATTAAATTTTATTATTTTTCAATGTAAAAACATTGGAATTATTTTTCAATGTAAAACCTCATCAAACGCCATGAATCAATGTAAAAACATTTATTATTTTTCATACTTATTATTGTTTAATATGTCAAATATATGATATTAAATTTTACATTTATTATTTTTCCAATGTTGATTTTAAAGTATAAGTTTTTATGTTTTTGGAATTATTAGTTTATTATGTATGGATTTAATTAATAGAATTTAATGATGAGAAGAAATAAAAATGCCTTAAATATATGATTAAATGAAGGTGAATGCAAGTTAATACCTTAAATGTTGGATTGAATGAGAGGGAATTGAAATGCATTTGAGTATCTTAAAATAACCTCTTTTCAACTCATTTAATATCAATAACAAATTATCCTACTTGCCTTCATCCTTTATCAATAAATTTAAATACGGAGGGGTAAATTTTGTCATTGAAAAACTCCATAAATATTCTTGAGGCTATTTGTGCTTTTTAAAGTACTATAGATTAACGTTAATGGACCTTTAAATGTTAATCGAAAAAATCCGGTCGAACCAGACACAAAAGGACAAAAATACTTTAAAAGTTATAAACATTTTAATTACAAGGAATTTTTCAGTCTTCCTCCCATTTTCAATGACTACAGCTTTGTTTGCCACTAGCACGTACTGTCTCCGTTGTCATCCATCTCCGTCAACTACCGTCTCTCGCCGGAACACTAGTACCTGTCACTGTATGACGACAGATTCAAAGCTCTGGTGTTCCTCAACGCAAGAAATTGCAAGGGGTTTCTAGTTAATGTCGATATCACTTCTTTATACTATTATTTATTTTGTTGTTTGTGAATGCTTCTGAAGTTGGTGGTACCTGAACCCTTTTTCTCATCGGAACTCCTTTTTTTATTCTAAGGTTAAGGTAAAATGTTGTATTAGTTTCATAAAAAACCTGTACATGCATAACTCATGTACGGTGAACAACCATGCATTAAGAATATAAAAATCATTTTGGAATTTTTACAGTGAGATGAACTCATATAGCATTCAATCTTGGAATTCTAGTAAGAGAATTGCTTTTATAGATTTCATTTCTGTGTTCCAAATTCTAGGTTTTCATCTCTCGTAAGTCTCATAGAACTGCATTAAATGGACAAGGAATTCAGTTGTTCTGCATTAGACAAAAGGCACCAAAGCAATAGAGAATTGGATCCAGTTCCGTTTTTGGGGTTTTGATAGGTTGCCTTCGATCAGGGTAGCACTGACTTGGGGATGCAGATGTTTGTTTCAAATAGGAAAGAGTTTAGGGGTAACACCGACTTTAGAAGTATTAAAAAGGAAAAAAAAATTAAGTTTGCAGGGAAGAAGGAGGAGGAGAAGAAGAAAAAGAATTCCCCATAAGAAGATTCGAAGAAGAATAGAAAGAAGACAAGCATGCTTATTGTTGGTTGCTTTCTTGTTGTCAGTGGATTCCCCGTTCACAGACATCAGTTGTGTAGTGAAATCGCTGATGGATTGCTTTCTGTGTTAGGGCTCCGAGGAGAAAATGGCATGGAGTAAGAATGAATTCTCACATCCCAATCCTAAATAATTCAAAAGAATGAATGATTTTTGGTTTCTTTTGTCTTTTTCTATCCGGTTCAACCAGGTTCATTTAACTAACGTCCAAACGCCCGTTAACATTAGCTTGATTTCGCCTAGACGACGTGGTCGTCTCTCTCTCATTGAAGGGTTCACGCACCCCATGAACCGAAGGTTCACTGAATCCAGTCTCCACTTATCAATTAAATTTTGACCATCATTTATTTTGATTCTTGTTTTTTTTTGGGATTCTTAGTCTTGGTTCAACTCTTGATAGTTTGTTCAACTCCACTTGAATGAGATTAACCATAGCCATTGAATTTCTTATAAAAAGAGAGGTTGAGGGGCCGAGATATCCATCGTTTGCTGCTTGAGCACCACTTAAGAGCTTTTAGACCCCATGGCCTACTTAGAACCCAATCAAATAGTAAGTAATTACAAGATACATTTTAAAACCATATTTGAAAAGACATGTGCACTATTGGAGCATATAGAAATATCTTTTAATATTGGTTAAAGGATGATTAGTCGTATGTGTACTTACCAAATACCTCTGGATTTCATGATCAAAATAGTCTTTGACGCTACAACAAGCAAGGGGTGAAGTATCTTTTCATACTAGTTAAGGGAAGGTTAGACCCTTTACCATATGCATACCTAATAAATGCTTTAGGACTTTTAAAGGCATAGAAAAGGGTCAAGGTGGCCTTTTGATGCTACTCCCTAGTAGCGAACTCATAAAATCATGCATCTATTTAGCCTTGAATCTAACTAAATAGGTAAGGGATAAAATATCTTTTGATTTCGGTCAAGGAAAGGTTAGACCCTTTACTATACGTGTACCATTAGATACTTCAAGACTTTTGAAGGCATAGAAGAGGGTCAAACTAGCCTTTTGATGC